TTTCAATTTAATTATTTTTCCTTGCTTTAAGGTACACCTTAAATATACATTTTGTATCCATTGTAAGTGTAAACATTATCGGGTATATCATAAACTCTTTGCTTGATTTATAATTTGATACATTTTAGTCTATAGTTATTTTGGGCTGGCGATCTGAGTGAGTTGTTGCCCCACATATCTTTGGTGCTCCGGTATTGTTGTGTACCGGGTTGTGCAGCTCCCTCAAAAATGGTTGAGCTGCATGAGCTATTCGGGGCATGCTAGCCGTCTGCTGGCGCAGGCTTGCTCAGATCGATCTGGTTCTTTCTTCCAAAGACCAGTCCAGTAAATTACTCTGCATTTGTTTACACCAACTTATTAATTTATTATTGTATTATCTGGACTATAAAAAAGAGACTAAGACCCCCGAGTTTGTTTCTTGACATTTCTTCTCAGGGCAGTCAGTTAGGAAATGTCGACTTCATCTAGTTTAGGAAGACATTGTAAAAGTGATTTATATAGTCCTACTTGCAAGAATAAACTATTTCATTTCATTTCATTTCATTTCATTTCAGTTTAGTAGTTTTTTGCTCCAATTTTCTGTTCCCCTTGCCATGTGCCCATTTATTACCTAACTTAGTTGTTTTCCTTAAATTTATATTCTTTTATCATATCATGCATAGTGGTACCACATCGTGATGGTCTTAAAAAACGGTCAGTTGTGGTTGACGGACATCGAGGTATTCTGGTTTAAAAAAATATCTGTAGTATTTTTAAAGAGTTTGAGGAGATTTTACAATTTGTACTCTGACCGCTTAGATCGCGTCATGGTGTGTGCTACCACTTATAATTTCCGTATATTTAGGCGAGTTAATATTTGTTGAACCGTTTAGAATTAGTTTTGCACGTTGACTCAAATTACCACCTACATTTGACCTACCACTGTGGTTCCAGATTAGTTAGTAACATTCAACAGTAATATGTAAAATAAAATATGTACTATTAATGAAACTATGTCTGGTTAAGGAAGTTGATGTCTACACTTAAATTAATTCCATCATTAATATTGAATTAATAATAAATAGCACCTAAGTAGATGCTTTTATTTAATTGCCTTTGCTCCTACTAAATCTTAACTTTTCGGGCCTTGTTGTGTACTATATTATTATAAGTTTAAGGAATTAAATATTATGACACTATCTGGTCAATGTATTCTTGAAGCCTTGTTGTAAAAAAAATATAAACGATTTTCAGGATGTTGTTGGGGCTCCCGCGGTACTGTAGCGCATCAGGTATGTTTGCAGATGCACACGTGGATGATTTTTCGTCAATGATCCGCAAACGGACAGCCTCACTGATGCGTGGGGTTCGTGCGAGTTCTAACAATATCCTGATGGTTATAGGTAAACCCGAATGTTGTTGTTTGATGTTTTGAGACATTGGGTTCATATACATGCCTGTGTACCTGGTGCCTCGAATCAACGTAGATATATGAATTAAATGTTTTCTTCTTTTTGTCTTTAATAATTTTGCTAAATTTAATTTTAATTTTACTAACATAGTTATAAGGATTACTTTGCTAACAATATATGGATTTTTTAATGGTCTGTATTAAATGATTTTTATTTTATTTATTTTATTTATAAAACAAATGGTGACTTTCATCAATATAATACGCGAAACAGAACTAATTTGAGTGTACGACCAACCAGGCTCCAGAAGTTAGCTCCTTATATGGAAATTGTATTCGTTTTTACAACAAATTTAGAATCAATTCAACATCTCTTCTGTTGACGTTCATAAGTGTACTTGGTTACCTATATAAATAAAGTTATTTTGAGTTTGAGGTCTAAAGAATTTATAAAAGATAGCACCGGCAACCGTACCCGGTTAACGCGTCCAGTGTACCTTTCAAATATTATTTAATTATCTTTGCTCATACTAAATATAACATTTCGAGCTTTGCTTAGTAATAACTACATTATCAAATACCTGTTTAATAAAATTACAATATGTTTAGAGATATATATATATATATATATATATATATATACGATATAAAATCAAAGCAACGCCTTTACTAAAATGACTTTTATTTCCGTTTAAGATTGTATATACTGTAAGTAGTGTTATTGGACACTTTCTTATGTTATATTAATTTTTAGTTAATTGGTTTAGATTTAAATTACTTATTAGTCTTAACCTCTAAAGAGCAGTGTTGGCCTAGTGGCTTCAGCGTGCGTCTCTCATACCTGAGGTCGTAGGTTCGATCCCCGGCTGTGCACCTATGAATTTCTTTCATTTAACATTCGCTCGAATGGTGAAGAAAAACAACGTTTGGAAACCGAGTTACCGAGACCCAAAAAGTCGACGGCGTGTGTCAGGCACAGGAGGCTGATCACCTACTTGCCTATTAGATTAAAACAAATTCATACACCTGAGGCCCAGACCTAAAAATGTTGTAGCGCCACTGATTTGTTTTATTTTATTTTATTCGTCTGAAGTTAGGCTAGATCGTAATGTTAAATTGTGTCTATAGACAATTTATAAATAAAAAAATACTTTATATATAAGAACTTATTATATTGTTAGCTACCGCCCGTAGGTTTAGGGATTACCCCTGGACCAATAATCGTTATATATCATTAAAAACCATATTATTTTATTAGGCTCATCTGATGTTAAGTGCCCATGGACACTCTCAATCCCTGAAGGCTCGGGAGTGCGTTACCTTTTATGAATTATCTAGTTTCTTTTCTACTTTTTTCTTCTTTCTTTTCTTTAAATCGATGTGAAGGTTTTGACTCATTTGAGTTTATCACGTACATACAAACATACAGTGTTTTACCGGTTTTAAAATATTTATTTCTTTATTCTCTTGAGGTATAAGTACCTAAGAGCCTGTAGATTTCAAGTAGTGTCTGAATTATTTTAATTCAGCTTCCGTGAGAACCGGAAGTCGTGAGTACTTTAACTTTGGCGCCGGATGTGACGTACATTCAAGCGTGCTATCGACACCGAATTATTGTTTTAATTGAAGGTGATTGAACTTCGATGCATTTTTAGTTTTATTTTTGATTTCGCATTACAGAAGCATAATTTTGAACATATATATATATTACAGTCAAAACCGTTTACGACGACATCGTTTAGAACAACATATCGGTTATATTGACCAAAATCAAAGGTCCCGGCTGAATTCTATTGTATTAGGTTCTTAATAACGTCATCGGCTGTTACGACTATCGGTTTTTACGACCAAATATGAGTAGTTAAATGTCGTTATAATAGATTTAGACTGTAAAAATTTATTTGTCAAAATTCTATGTGGGTACACTATTACTTGTTCATAAAAGATACATATACTTACCCTAAACATTTAGGGGGATGAAAATGAGATGTTGTACGATTCTCAGACATTCCCAAAATGCACACAAAATTTCATGAGAATCGGTCAAGCCGTTTCGGAGGAGTTTAACTACAAACACCGCGACACGAAAATTTTATATATTAGATTAAGACGTTGACTGCCTAAGTTAAATTCAATCTACCTTACACCATGACTATATGTTTTATATATCCGTACATAGTTTGTCTGTATGATACTTTGTAAGTATGAAGACTGAAATTACAAGAGACTTTTGCCATAGACTTATTACTCATAAACTCCCTTGAGGGTCTGAACATCCGGATTATCCCTCTGGGCTAGACATTCTTACGCTATTAACACTTATTAACATCACTTACCTCTAGACTATGAGCAGTGTTGGTCTAGTGGATTCAGCGTGCGACTCCCATCGCTGAGAGTCGTAGGTTTGATTCCCGGCTGGGCACTAAACGACTATGTGCGCATTTAACACGCTCGAACGGCGAAGGAAAACATCGTGAGTAAACCTCGCCTTAGACCCAAAAAAGTCGACGGCGTGTGTCACAGAAGGCTGATCCCCTACTTGCCTATTAACACACACAGAAATCTGATTCCCAGACTTAAAAAGGTTATCGCGCCACTGATTTATTTTTATTTACCTATTAAAACACGTACGCTTCATAAATTTCAGCCTAAGTGTCATTAAAAATATATTTAATTTACGCAAGTATATGGCGCCCAATAATAATTGGTTTTAACCTGAGATTTCTCATCTTTTCTGAGGTGATCAGTCTTCTGAAGGTGACAATTCGTTATAACTTGCATACCTAATGTTTTCCTATACCGTTCGAGTAAGTGTTAGTTGCGCAAATAGAAAGAAAATAATAATGGATAATACCACTTAAAGTTAAGAACCGCACATTTATCCATCAGGGGGACAAATAGAAAACCACAGATGAGAGACAATTCGAGCGTTTCATTGAATTGAATTCACGTAATATCATGACGGATTATGTGTCGTTGGACTAATCACTAATGATGCTATTGACAGTCACGAAAACGTTCGATTTTCACTAGTGGTAACCGGCATATTAAATTAATATTAAAGATATACCAATATTAGTTATGGATTGTAGCCAATGGAGTAAAAAATATCATAATTATACATATACAAATTAACAAGCTAAAAGTCCAGAATATTCAACAAGTAATACGAACACAATATTAAAAAAATACAGAAAAATTCAATATTTAGAAAGGACCTGTCTCGCATGTCTTTAATAGAAGTAAAATACCATAAAACGTACTTTTAGCTGAACTGTACCAAAGTGAGAACCAAATAATTCTATATAAAATTACGTTAAATATGTATAAATATAGAAACAGCCTATTTGGTATGTCCTATTGATACACCAACGATTTTATACGCCAGGTTAATATTTGTATTGGTTAAATTTACCTACACGGTGTCTGAATTTTTTACTAATCTAGACAAATAATTAATCATTCGTATTGAAGATCGTTTATAACACATAACTATAAATAACTTCAAATTCTGGCATTCTGTAACATTTCAATGTCAACAACCTAGATAACGAATTAATTGTTTTATCTGTAATTATTTGAGACGTACATCTTATCAACATTGATAACAATGGAATATAATAAGTCACTAGCTGCATTCAACGCCCTTTTCAAGTACACCTGTATCCCGAGACGTACAAAAAACGTCCTTGGGACTATTGTTGTTACAAGGGTTTGCGCGCCAAGTGACTGCCAAAATCGGCGCACGCCGCGATGCGCGGGAAACGAAGCGTCAGTCGATCTCGGACAGTACGTAGGCGCGCACGTGACGACGGCTTTTAGGTTAGAATTGGCGCGGTTTTACAGCCAGGTGCGCAACGCCCCCGTCTACCGCGCTCCCCGCTTACTACCTGACAGCTGTTTTCTCTCGGGAGATTAGTCAGATGTTCCTGTAACCAGTCGGAGCTCACCTGACGCGAAACCATGGCCGCGGGCGGACGCACACCTAAGCAGAGAAGATTCGAAATATCAGCTGTTATGGGAAGAACTACTCCAAGAAGACGACGCGGAAGTTGCAAGTGCCTATTTGGGGCACCCGACCGGGACGAAACTAAACGTCTGATGGCGGAGCAGTACGCTAGAGATAGGAAGCGTTTTATTAAACGGTTTAATTTTGATGTGGAAACTGACTGTGCGTATAAACCATCAAAGCTGGATTCGCCGGTTAAGTTCTGTGAGGAAAAAGAAAGCCCTAGGACAGGTGTGGAGGCCTTGGCGTGTGTTGAGAATACTGAAGTGAGGGTATTGGGGTCACCGTCTAGAAGAAGTGCTGGAAGTTCGCCAAGAACGCCGCGGACACCGAAGACGCCCAGGGCTGCGAGGACACCACGCACACCTAGGACTCCAGCATCTAGAAGACAGCTTCAAATGACAGGTTAGTAATTTATAACCATTTGCTGCATATGTTTACATGTTTGTGTATTAAATTGAATTTGAAATGAGACCTCTTTATGGGAAAAATATCCTTTTTTTACGATGTGTCGTGTAAAATGGCACAAAAATTATCTTAGATAAGAATCAGATATAAAAACATTCTACAAAATAACATATGTATCGATAGGACGCATGCGAAACCGGATTTTCCCATATTTTAATAAATGTGGGTTATGAATAAACACCTGCTCTATACAATTTTTCTGCACATAAATTGTGTTAACTAAATGTTATTTGTCATAATTCAAACTAAATACTAATACTTATAAAAAGAAAAAACAAACATATTACTATTTTTAACTAGTTTCTTTGTTACGCATAGTACAGAGGCCCTTGGGTGAAATCTGGTATAATAGGGTAAGAAAGATTTTATTCTAAACGAAACTGCAGACACCTGCTAGTGTATGTTCATATTTTTTTGTCGACTACGTTTTTCAATCAAAGCTAAAAGTATTTTTATGAAGGAAATAATTTATAAAAAGGATCCGCTATTAAAATTTTATGAGTCCCAAATTCATTTGTAATAAAATAAAAACTTATTTGTGTATTGCGAACATAATTTTAAAACGAACACCTGTATTGTCGCATAAGTCCAAAGTTAAATGGCGCATTCAATCAATTATAGTCAAATTAACTACAAGTATTACGTAACAAAAGTAAATTTCAAGTGTAACCTACCTGTAACAATTGTTCAAACAAGTCGCCCGGTCTATGACCAGATAGTCATCGGAGAGCGAAGACCTCGGCTAAAGCCAGTTTCACAGTGAAATTTCCAAATAATGACGGCCACTGCGGGATACTGTGATGATAAAACAGTAAGGGTGAGACTCAGAAAGAGTGTACCTGTACATGTCAAAATTTCAGTAGGTAATATACCTGTATGTTCATGTACGGGAGTCTTTTAGGGCTAAGCTTTGTTTCTGACTATGACTAATTCGTATGTCGCTGTCAAATATCTCAAACTTTCTACAGTAAAAATGGTTTGATAGCTGCTGTAACTAGATTTAAGTTTGCATTATTGAGAGGTCAAATTTATTATTTTGATATATAATATTTCCTATTTGGAAATAGAATATCAAAGCACCAAATTAGATTTATCTCGAATATTAATGTATAATTGAAGAGATAACCTTATCTATTGAATATCTCTAAATCACTCAACTGGATGTGCGATTTCAACCCATGTCAGAGTCCAAGATCCACGAAATGTCATTAAACAAAAACTATTCTTCCGAAAAAATATAGAACTAAAATAATCTACTTTCCAAACTTTATATTAGTCTAATTAATACAATATTTATTTTTCTGGAGTGTGGGCCTAGTGGCTTCACCATGCGACTCTCTGAGGTCGTAGGTACGATCCCCGGCTTTGCAACAATAGACTTTCTACATATGTGCATATTTAACACTCGCTGGAACGGTGAAGGAAAACATCGTGAAATCGTGAATCCGACTTGCCTTTAAACCCAAAAAGTCCACGGCGTTTGTTAGGTACAGGAGGCTGATCACCTACTTGCCTATTAGATTAACAAATTATCATAAAACATACAGAAATCTGAGACCTAAAAAGCGCCACTGATTTATTTAATAAAACAATATTTGTATATTTTGTTATTTCGTTAGCTAGGTATCGAAATTTCTCGGGGCTTTTTATCTGCGTTGCAGGTCCTTGGTAGTAACTTACTTAATCCTACAATAAATTCAGACTAAATCTCGTTTCTGAATATAACTAGAACTAGAGATTCTTCATGATCAACCATGTAAGTACGTGTATCAGGCAAAGGCTGATCATCTAACCAGAAAGTGCCTAAGTACCAACTCAATAACATCTTACCATTGAAATTCGAACCATGACAGTCCAAATTTATGGTGTACATTGACCCCCTTACGTCATCGAAACCATAGCTTTCATTTGTATAGGATACAGTGGTGAAAAGTATTTAACTGTAGTACAGTCTCCATATTTACATTATACAACTTATATATTTTTACTAGCTGACCCGGCAAACGTTTCTTTTGCTATGTATGTATATTATTTCTAGGAAACATTTTTTTAGTTCAATAAAAATAACTATGTATCTACAATAATAAAAAATAGGGTCTTGATCGTAGAGGGGTGAAAATTAGGGGTTGTATGTATTTTTGCATGCTTTATCATAAAAAAATAAAAATTTCTAAAATATAAAAAAAACATTTGGGGTGGACACCCTTTATCACTTAGGGATTTGATAGATAGATTGTAGGCGATTTTCAGACTTGTTTATAAGAATCTGTCAATGTTTCGGAGGATTGGGGAAGGAACATGGTGACACAAAATTTTTTTTTTGTTTCTTGTATGTTCGTTTGACTCGCTATAACTCGAGAATGGCTGGACCTATTTAAAGTCCTATCTTCCCCAAGTGGGGCGGAGGGCATCCAGCGTAGAAAACCAGCCAGATCCTTCCTGGGCGGCTGTATTAATTTCACTTCACGTCATAGCTTCCTCCGCCTCTGCAATGATGCTTCGTTGCCAGGTCTGTTTTGGGCTCTTACTTTTGCCTTGAAGATTCCAGTTGAGGGCTTGTTTGGCAATGTGACTTGGATTAGACCCATTTCCACTTTCGGCGTTTCATAGACCTGTCAGTTGGTATCATTGAATATGCTGCAATGGCTGGACCGATTTGGCTAATTTCTTGAAATATCTGTGGCAGTTCAGTTTTAGGAGAAACATGTTCATACTCGTATAATCAAAAAATAAAACATATTAATACAATGTTTTGCTTCCAAATATGTTATAGACAGAAATATCGTTGATATTTTGATTGAATGTTACTGTATAAGTATTTATAATTTGTAATTAGTCGTAAACAGACGATGATTGATGATTTTTCAAGTGGATTCGGGAATAGGAAATTTACAATAACATTTTTGAGACCGTCCATCACGTTCGCTATTAAAAAAATACTAGAAATGTATTTGCAACATACATTTTTGTTTTATAAAGTAAAAAAGGTTTGTTATGTAATACCGTAAAATTAAAAATTAATATGAATTTAATATTTTATTTTCCACGGAATTTAAAGCGCACGAGTGCTTCGAAATAAGGTTTCATCGTGAGATGACGTCATGATAATTGCAATCGGTACTTAGCGTGTATGTTTGTTTTATTCATTAAATAATAGTTAGTATCACTACACTGTATTTCTGAATACATTTTGTTTTCGACACTATTCTTTAACACGAAATTTACCCACTACGATCTTGTTTTATAGACTGTGTACTTTTTTGTTGCAGCTAGGAAAGCTCATGAACTTTTTATGTTAGATAAATATTGTAGTCATTAGATTCATAGTACAATGAACTATTTTATGAAGTTGATATGTTAGAACTTATCTGAGAATTGTTTTAATGTACCAATGTTAAAGAAAAAAAATACCGAGTTAAGAGGCGAAAACTTATTTTTTTATCCAGTTTGAATATTTGTACTTTATAAAAAACCTCTGAAATACGCCGTTTCAATCTGATAAAATTGTGTTGATATGTCTTATCAAACACTTGTTATCATTGCAAGCATTCCTCAGTTTGCGTAAAATATTTATTTAACTTATCATAATTTGACCTCAATTTGATCCAGACATTATGTCGACACGTATGCAATATAAAATGTTTTGTCTGTGTTTCTACAATTCTAAATTCAAAATAGTGACTTCTTACTCTGCGTAGTTTTAGTGTACAATTCTAAATTCAAAATAATGACTTCTTACTCTGCGTAGTTTTAGTGTACAATTCTAAATTCAAAATAGTGACTTCTTACTCTGCGTAGTTTTAGTGTACAATTCTAAATTCAAAATAGTGACTTCTTACTCTGCGTAGTTTTAGTGTACAATTCTAAATTCAAAATAATGACTTCTTACTCTGCGTAGTTTTAGTGTACAATTCTAAATTCAAAATAATGACTTCTTACTCTGCGTAGTTTTAGTGTACAATTCTAAATTCAAAATAGTGACTTCTTACTCTGCGTAGTTTTAGTGTACAATTCTAAATTCAAAATAGTGACTTCTTACTCTGCGTAGTTTTAGTGTACAATTCTAAATTCAAAATAATGACTTCTTACTCTGCGTAGTTTTAGTGTACAATTCTAAATTCAAAATAGTGACTTCTTACTCTGCGTAGTTTTAGTGTACAATTCTAAATTCAAAATAGTGACTTCTTACTCTGCGTAGTTTTAGTGTACAATTCTAAATTCAAAATAATGACTTCTTACTCTGCGTAGGTTTAGTGTACAATTCTAAATTCAAAATAGTGACTTCTTACTCTGCGTAGTTTTAGTGTACAATTCTAAATTCAAAATAGTGACTTCTTACTCTGCGTAGTTTTAGTGTACAATTCTAAATTCAAAATAGTGACTTTTTACATTGCGTTGTTGTAGTGTAGGAGATTATAAATTCGAAATAATGACTTCCTACTTTGCGAAGTTGTAGTTAAGAATTCTTAATTCAAAATAATTTCTACTTTGCGTAGTAGTAGAGTAAAACCTATTAGATTCGGAAATCATAGCGCTGTATCTGCTTAGAATGGTACCCTGAGTCACAGATTTGTGTATTTTTACTGATAATTTTTCTGCTTAGATTCTTCCATATAGATAGATCTTTGTTTGTGACGTGAGTGAGACGACGTGTGTGTCTTGCAGTGTCTACTGGTCAGACGAAACGACGCTTTCAGTTTGACTATCTGTTCTCTAGATCCTGAGATTTAGAAACGTACTAACTAACTCTATCTCTGATCGAGTTAGAGTTCGTACATCAAAAAGTATTAAATTGTTTTAAGGAGCAAGGACCAACTGACACGTGACCTATGACATTATTATCTAATTAAACACACAATTTTCATTATGTTTTATCACCATCTCATTCCTTTAGCAAGTCGCAATGTCTTACTAAGTCTTCAAAGTCTTGAGACTTAGATAT